CGGATACATTTTCCATACATCTTTCTTGGACAGTGGATAACCTGTTTTGCTCACCTCAACCAAAACTTGAACCAGGAGATTATTCAAATGTTATAACTTATTATTACGATGACTATATAAATATTTCAATCAGAAGGAATGAGTGTCATGACTGTAAAAGAAGTAATAAAAGGTATATTAAATAATTTTTAAGGGATTTTATTTATTTTTCCTGTGATAAGTGTGACTAAATCATAGGCCAATAGGGTAAGATTAAACAATATTTTGTCTCCCTTTCTTTTATGTTATTTGAGTACTAAATATAGGTGATCATTCAGGATTGTATTGCTCAATACTTTAAAATAAATAGAGTTTCAGTCACACGTTAAACGCTATTCCACCAGATGGTGTTGAAAATCTGTAGCAACTTAACATATTGAAATTTATATATGTCAACCAATCAATCAATATCAACATAGGACCAGGCATTATTGCGTAACGGTCCGAGTTGCCAGCTCATGTCAGAACATCAAGTAGAAAGGTAGTGAGGTGAAGGATGAAGATAAGAAATCTCAGCCAAAAGAAATATTTAGTACGAGAAGAAAGAAGGGAAGAATGACAAAATGGTGAGAATCGGTGTAGCGTCGTTCCCAACCATATTATGTAGTCTTCAACCACTGGTTCCTCTTGTTCCGCGAACCCCAACCATTTAGTCTGCACCGACCCACATGTCTCAGACCGACAGTCAGAGACTTCATATACTGGTGCCACCTCAGGCCTTTTTCCAGCCTGGACCTACTTCGGTCAACATTGTGTGACAAGGCAATCGGTGACTGGGAATACGTAGTACGTGTCTCAACCATCTCCATCGATGAAGGTTCATAACCTAAAACTTCACACCTAACTTCTGCATTACTCACTTAGTGACATCATGGAATACGTCATATACTACGAAGGTAACGGTGATCAAACACTTGAAGCCTTCTTATATGTTCCACTTTCAATGGCCATGTTTCACAGCCATACAGTAGAACAGAGAGGAATGTTGTGTAGTACACGTAACCCTATCACTATTTACTAGTTATTCTGAATAAAAATGATATATTACTAGTCGTTCATATAATAATAACATGTTAGCCGCCCAGTTGATAATGAGACGTGAAAATTTCACTTTTAGAAAAGTTCATAAGAGAATTCGATTTTTGCTTTGTTGTAGACTTCTAAGTCATTATGTATTGTTTTGTTTGAAAACAATATCTTTAAGCAATTCTCCTAATTATTAGAGATTATAAAATACTGAAAATATGAAAAAATTAAGGTAAGATATTCTCTCAACCAAAGTTAAGACTGATCTATAGTCATTATATTGAAGATATACACCCTAATTATGCTTTTATCAAGTAATTAATTATATTCATAAAACGGTTTTACATTTTGGAGAGTATTAATTTATTATAAATATATATTTGTAATAATATTTATATGTAATTTACACACAACTATGCTCTTCAGTTTCAGTAATATTTCGAGCAAAATTGAAGGACACAATTGTGCGTAAATATCATTACAAATATATTTATTTATAATAATATAATAATAATAATAACAATATAGTGGTAATAATAATATGTTGTAAAAGCCGCATATTACACTTAGTTTTAATTCTTGTTATGTCAGGAAAAGATATACAAATCAACTTTTTATGGCTGTAACTAATCAGTATTGTGATTAAAGCTGATGATGAATCTTCAAATATTTCATGGGGAAATGTTTGACTGTTGGTCTTCATGTCATTTTTAGGTTACTCAAAAAAAAGGTGAACTTTAAAAGTAGTAAAACTACTAGAAAGTGGTCAGATGTTCCACTTTCTTAAAATCTAGAAATTAGATTTAATCTCTGTTTGTTGATCTATTTTTGGCTGTCTGTAAGTTATTTTCATACAAAAGGTTAGTTTACTAGATAAAAACAATGTCAACACTAATTCTAGCGAGTTAAACAACTGTAGAGTCCAGCTTTCCTACTTGATTTACATCTATGTATATCATTGTGTCGTGCAGTTACAGCGTTTCATGTAACAACCCTAGGAGTTCAATGTGCAGATTCACAGTTCTATGGCTCACTGGTCTAGGCGATTGATTTCTGACTGCTGAGTCACAGGTTTGGAGCCGGCTCCACTTGTCAAGGTTCCAGCAGCAAAGTAGTATCATAAGCCTTAGAATATTAGGTATGACTGGTTGCACTAACGTGCATGCAGTTGCTGAGTGTATTTTGGTTCTTTTTCGTTCAAAGTGTTAAAAATTCAATCTCAATTAAAAGTTGTAAATCGACTGATAAAAGTAGATCATCACCGATCAACATCAGTTCAAATTTTACTTGGTTACTATTTAAACAGTTGGAAAACGTTTTCACTTATAAGCCTTGGTTCATAATCCGTCTACAGGAAAGTTTTTAGGCAGAACTATCTCTTTTGTTATCGGATTCTAAAGTAATCTTTTTCTTTGTTCAAAGTTTTACGTTTAACTCAGCTGGATTTAATGTGTACCTATTTTTCATTGATTACTAAATAACCTAAACTGCAGATATTCATCAACAGCTGCCTACGCTTGTTACTGAAGCTCAGATGGACAGAAAGAATAAGCGACAAGAAACTCTTGCTGGCTGGCTGGCGATGGACCAACCAAGAACCTATCACACAACAAATATGCACTGGAAGGAAGCGGAGATGGATTGGACATGCACTGAAAAGACCATTCGGGGACATTACGCACCAGACCGGGCCCTCGAGTGGAACCCCAATGGGAAACGTTGAGTTGGGCGTCCGAGGTGTGGGTGACAAGGAGGAGATAGTGTGAGGAAGAAATGAGAGCCAGGTTCAAAGAGATTGCAGAGAAGAGAGTGTGATGGAGTCTTGCTACTGAATCCCTATGTTTCACTAGGAACCCAAGGGACAGATAATAATAATAATAACTAAATAACCTAATGTCTCCGGTGTTTATTTTAACTGAAGGAAAAATCTGAAATTTTGGTTCATCACAGTGAGACCAAATAAACTTTCTGTCTTGTTTTACAATAATAACGTAAATAAGGTAAATTAGGTTGAGATAATTGTAGTTAGATATTTCTTTCAAAGTAAAAGTCAAACAGTGAATCAATATTAGTACTGAAAATGACGTCTGTAAGGTTGACTATTTATACAGTAATGTTCTGATCGTAAATCACAAGTCATTTAATGTTTAGAAAATGTAGATAATAGGAGGATGGCTGTGCGCTTATTGGAAGAAGAGTAACATACCAACAAACTGATTATAATATTTCTAAAAATTTCTTTTTATAGAAACTTTTCAGACTAATATTTTCAAAAACTATTTAGTGGGCAATCGTATTATTATTATTATTATTATTATTATTATTATTATTATTTGTGCCTTGCATTCCTAATAGAACATAGGGCTTCAGTAGCACGTCGCCATTACACTCACTTCTCTACAATCTCTACAACCTGGCTCCACAACAGACCATAAGCTCTCATTTCTTCCTCACATCATCTCCTCAGTGTCACCCACACCTCGGACGCCCAACTCGACGTGTCCCCTTGCGATTCCATTCGAGGGCCTGGCCTGGTGCTTGGTGTCCCCGAATGGTCTTCACAGTGTATGCTCAATCCAGTCCATCTCCACTTTCTTCTGCAAATTTGTTGGGTCATGGGTTCTTGGTTGGTTCGTTGGAAGCCAGCCAGCCAGCCAGCCAGCCAGCCAGCCAGCCAGCCAGCCAGCCAGCCAGCCAGCCAGCCAGCCAGCCAGCCAGCCAGCCAGCCAGCCAGCCAGCCAGCCAGCCAGCCAGCCAGCCAGCCAGCCAGCCAGCCAGCCAGCCAGCCAGCCAGCCAGCCAGCCAGCCAGCCAGCCAGCCAGCCAGCCAGCCAGCCAGCCAGCCAGCCAGCCAGCCAGCCAGCCAGCCAGCCAGCCAGCCACAGTCAGTTCCTTCTTGCATACTCTAATTATTCTGGCCATCTGAGCTTCAGTGTCAGTATCCAGCCAGCATAGGCAGCAGCTGTTGATCAATGTGTGTAGTTTGTTTGAAATGCCTTTCGTAATGCGCCAAGTCTCTCAACCATCACATAACACAACTGACTTCACTGATGTTGGTGTTGTTCACGCTGTATACTGAGTTCAGTGTAGTGCAGTAGATCTCCACACTGGTTTCAGGTTAATGAACAACAGTCTTGCTGTCTTTCCGATGCTGGTTGGCTTTTCCATCCTCATGTGTGCCTGTGTTGTCTGTAGTTGAAATAGTGCTGCCTAGATAGGTGTGGGGTGAAGGAGGCTATTTCGTTTAGGTTTCTCTTGTTGATGGTGATTGTAGCTTGTTGTTGGTGATGCTGTTATTGTTTGTGTATCTTCATCACCTGTTTCTGTCTTCTCTATGTTCACTTGGAGTGCTGTCTTCTCTGTCCTGCCTCACCTTTCCTGTCAACATATCAGATTTTTCCTATAGATCTTCGAGTTTGTGTGACATTAGACCCAAGTCACTGGCGAAATCCAGATCTTCTAGTATGTTTTCCCCAGTCTAGCTTATCCTGCTCTTCTCGCTCCTCACTGTTTGTTGCATGATCCAGTCCAGTTGACCCAAATCAGGAATCTTCACTTCAAAGGCATCACTGAGCTTCCCATTGTGAATTACTTGGCGTGTGGTGCCTTCATAAAGCTGTTGAATGAGATTGATAAAGGTTTGTGGTATTCTGTAGTGTTTAAGCAACTGGCAAATTATTTCTCGGTCGACGCTGTTAAAGGTCTTTTCAAAGTCGATGGATTTGAGGTAGTGTGCAATCCTACGCATAGTTAAAATATTCTTTGGAATCTTCATCAATGCTAATTACATGTCAGACGAGTTAAACAGAACTAAAAAAATGCATCATTGAGATTTTCTATCTGTATAACAACTACGTTTAGTATGATTTTACATTTTGGTTAACCCACTCATCAGTAATCTTGTACATTCTTATTTTTATATCATTTTTTATTTAGTTACACCTCTACAACGACAGTCTGGTTCATCATGCAGTTCTCGTATACTCTTTCAACTTGATACACAATACTTTAATCGGTATTAAATAAGCAGAGTAAAAACAACAATAAAACTTTAAATAATTTCATTTGTTCAATTATTTTCATTTATTTTAACCAGCTAACTAATGTTTCATAATTCTTAAATATCTAAGCACAAATCAATATGACCACAAAAGTAACTGATGATGATAAATGACAATAAAAGATGAAACAGATGAAAAAGGTCAATGTTATATCATTGTTTACTTTTGAATCAATCACTTGAATTTTTATTGATAAACTAAAGTGAAAGACGAAAACAGAATAGTATTCTTGACCACCGTAAACATATGTAATACATATGTGAGAAGATTATCTAACGGATAATAAGCATTTTTATTATTTTACATTTCAATATAACAAATTATATGTTCAGTATGCATATTAATAATGAAAATAAACTCTGAAAAACTACGAATGAGAACGAAAATTTGATTTGGAGGTTTATAGAGATTTGTTGATTTCAGGATAGTATTATTCATGGACTAGGGGTACTGAATAGCTGTTTCATCCTGGTGTGGGACTCTCTAGCAGTATGAGTCCATGAGCCTGACAAGGATCGAACTGTGGATCCTAAGGTTTTGCAGCGAGCATGGGTCGGAATCCAGTAGCCTACATTTTCATACTTCTGTCGATTTGACTCGTTGAGTATTTGTTTCCACATCCAAACTGGTCTATTTACAGATTTAATTCTCATTGCAACTTTGGGAAACGTCATTCCGAAGCATTTCATTAGTAAGCAGTGGACATTCAATCAATTTGGAGGTTTGTGGGGATTTATTGATTTTAAGTTAGTAGTAAGAAGTTGTGAAGGGTGGAGCAAACCAAATCTGTATTGTAGACAAATACTCAACTATGGCATTGGATGAAGTTCGCGCTATATCGTGAGTTGACAGACATAAGAAAATGTAAACTATAGAAATCGGACCCGGTGACTTGATGGTAAAATTCTGTCTGAGAAACATATGGGTTCTTGGCTTGTTTTCTCATACTATTGCAAAATATCTGTTCGGTGCTGCTAGGTCCTCAGTGATTTTCCAACTCATGTTAGTTGATGGTGGATACTGCCTTGAAGACAGAAATCATTAGTAGTATAGGTTAGATACTATCTGTAACATCACCAAAAATGAAATTTAAAGCTGAAATCCACTCGGCAACCTTGTGCACGTTCTTACGGTAGGCAACCAGTCACAATTCTTGTATGAGTTCTAATATGTCTACCCGCCTGCTTAAACTTTGGTTGGTAGAGAGAGGTTCAGTTTGTGACCCATTGGTTAAAAGTTAGTGCTAAGGCCAATGAGCCACAGCTGAAAATATATAATTGGTCCGCTAGGGACTCCCCGAAATTCAGTTCCAAAACCCATTGCATATAGTAATCTTTTCAACAGGAAAAATATTGATCATGAGTTTTGTTAAAGATTGGAGGAGATTTATGATAACAAATTACTCTCCATTGAATTTCTTCTTAATTTCTTCAGACCAATTAGCTCATTGTTGAGCTTATTGTTTTCAGTTGAAAAATATCTATTTTCATTGTTTACTGAGAGACTAATGCTCTAAGTGACTCTAGATAGACTGCAAGGTATCTAAAAATGGATAGGAAGATATTTTCTGAAATGACTCAGTGGTGGTACATCTACTGCTAGCAGTGAGGAGTAAGTAGACAAGCCATATCGAGGCATCTGCATAGGAGCCCATATGCCAACAGAGGCTGATCAATTCAGTCCTATCAACGACGGTGTAATACAAGCAATAACACCATTACTAAACATAAGTGAGGAGTAAAGTTTGAAATCTAAAAAAAGTGGAATTCAGTCACTGTCGAGGGATGTATAATATCAGGTTGATTTTCATTCTATACATGACTAGTATAGCTAAATCAGTCGTACACAGGCTTAGTAGTCATTGCGGTAATATTTGTAATTTATTGTGAGATTTGTATCCTAATACATATTGATGATTACTTCAAAGTTGTTTAATTCTAATTTACTGTAACTTCACATTTAGATGATAGGTGGATATTACTGACTTTTTAATTTAAAGTTATAAGGATAAATAAACTACGTGATTGACGGCGATATGTTTGTAATTCTGGATGAAAGTTTTGTTCTTGCTGACTTTCATCAAAAGAGTGATTGTGAAATCTTTAGAGTACTGAAGTCACTTAGAGATGCAGTTGAAGGTGGTACCTATGAGCTTTTTAGGTTACGATTGAAGCAACATAAAACTGGTTTTATACACATTACTTGATCCTTAAATGATAACTAATCGCATGTTGTTTAATTCTGATTATAATATGAGTTCTGTGAGTCCTTTTGAAATATGGTCATTACACTAGAAGACGAAGTACGTTTGACTTGGATATGTAAAGTAGCAAAAGTTGCTTCAAGGTTGTAGGCATCCCTTGCTAGGTAATACGAAAAAGAATAGAACCTATGGTCAGGGCTTTCTATTGACTATTTCCAGTGAGCCAGCATCAATCTGAGTGAGTTCCAGTAGTGAGTTTTCCAGTTTGACAATCAAAATGCAAACAGTTACATAGAATTAGGTTACCACTTCGTTATCAGATTATTTACCTACCAATGAGTGATTTAGTATTTAAGTCACCTAGTTGATTTTTCTACTCTGATTATTCGGCTATCAATTCCATGGTTTGATACTACAATAAAAGATTTATGAGTGGTGTTTGTCAAGACTTTGAAGATTTTCTGAGGCTTTATGACAAGGTGAAATAAATATATTAGATAAGGAAATATTTCAATTCAGAAGTTTGTGGGGATTTGTTTATTAATTTCAGGTTGATGTTCATCACGGAATGACATCAGCTGGAGAATCTTTGGGAACCTGAGAGCAATGGACAGTAGTTCCATCCTACCATGAGACTCCACGTGACCCTTCTAGGGATCTAACCCAAGATCTTCAAGTTACGCGGCCAGTACGTTATTTGGCCATTAGTGACTTTCTTCGAGATAGGGTGATCGGTGGAGCTAACTAAATTGGACTGAAGACGGTTAGTCAACGATGGGATTGGACAGAATTGGCCCAATATCATGATCCGAGAGAAGTAATGAGTAGTTGCTTTCTTATGGTTTGGAATCCTACATCTGCAACCAAGCGAGAGATCAAGCTCAGAACCATCAGTTTTCATGGCATAGATGTTATTATTCCTCGACTTGTTTGGAATCCACTAACGTCTACTTCTACGCGTTCACAAAATATAGCGGACATCATTTAGTGTCACTGATGGACATTCTCCTAACTCTCAGCTTTGTTGTTCTCATAGGTCATAACTTCTCGTTGGAAGTTTGAGGGTAAATTAGAATTAGGTAGATGACTACGGATAATGGCAGGGATTTACAATGAATTAATCGAATTAGGTTTTTGAATACACTACTGGATTCCAATGTGGTTGATGCATGATAAAGCACACGCCATGAGACCTGATAGTTTTTGATTTGATCTTTTATGTAGCTGCGGGTGCGTAGCGCTGAAGGGTCCAAAGATCATGATGGTTCTCCAACTGTTATCAATCTGTGGTGAGAATTACATTCAAATCGATAAATCCTTTCAAATCAACAAGTGAACGAACTACTCTAGCGACTGGTCATGTTTTTTGACCAGTTTAACATATTTTTACGCAAACTCACCATAAGTAATTAATTCCTCATAATAAATTACTCCAATTCCAGATTAAATAAAAATGGTTAACGCATTCGCCGTGAAACTTGAAGGTCCCGGGTTCGACCCCTAGCCAGGTCGTAGGTGCGTACTGCTGAGGAGTCCCATACTAGAACGAAGCAGCTGTCCAGTGCTCCCAGATTTTCAATGGTTCCCCAACTGATGTCAGCCCATGATGAATACTACGTCTAAATTAAAAATCCCCATTCATCTGAAAAAAAATCAGTGTTGAACATTGATCAAGTTATTGATGATGGTAAGGTGAATGTCTTCACCTCCATAAATCAAGAAGCCTTCTCTTCAGTAGTTTATGAATTCAGAAGTACTGCGAATAATGAAACTGCCAACCAGTTGATATCTACTTAATAGAGATTAAAAATATTTATATGAGAAAGTGGTTGATGAAAACCTTACGATATCATGAAATGATTTCATAAAGTTAAAATGTATAGATCAGTTATCTAATAAAACTAAAACAGTAAAAAGTTTAGCAACAAGTAACTCAAGTGGTAAAACAAAAGGTGACAATACAGTTACGTATAAAGAAATTCAATATTCAATATGTGAAGTTTCTATGGCAAAGCGTCTTTGAAAATTCACCAAGGTGCATGTAGAATCATTTGTTTACGTAACCTGAAGTAACAAGTCATAAGACAGAAATATGAAACAAAGTTATCATACAAGAATCCCCATCCACTAGATGTTGTATGTTACATGTGTAGCGGAAGGTATACTAATGTATTATGGAGGCTGGATGTATAGTAGGATGTCTAGATATGGTTGGATGGCATGAAATTCATTGTTACTGGAAAAAAGTGAGACACACAACATTGCTAAAAACACCTGAACCAACTGAGGAATTAATACACAAATCCTATAAGAAGACATACTAGATGAAATCATGTTTGAAGAAAGTGAAAAGAATAATTTCCTCGTAGAATATATTTAATAATTTTGAATAGAAATAATTTTATTTCTAATTTCAAGTTTATTTTTGAAAAAATAAATATTTTATAGTCCTTACTCTTAATTCTATTTCAGTCTTACATCAAACTTACTCATAAGATGTAAACTCTTTCAGGTTTTTAGAATAAAATTAGTAATCAAAATGTAAGTTTATAAACTTGTACAAAATTCGGTGAATGATGATACACCCCAGTGGTTATTTGTATTGTATAAAAAACGTATCAATTTCTGGCTTGAGGAATGAAGAGAAATAAAGTCTCTCTGGGTAAAGTCTTCATACTATTAGAACTAAGATTTTATAAGTGGTGGATAACATTAGACAAAGATGATCACAGTGATACATTCACTTTCTTAGTTCCTTAGATGCATTTTTTTCATTTTTATCTCAATCACTGAATGCTTCGGATATTAAGGACAGATAACAATATTATCACACAAAATTCAACGGTATTAAGTAGAATACTAGACTCGACCATGCAACAAACAGTGAGGAGCGAGAAGAGCGGGATAAGCTAGACAGGGCAAAACATCATAGAAAATTTGGATTTCGCCAGTGACTTGGGTCTAATGTCACACAAACTCGAAGATCTATAGGAAAAATCTAATATGTTGACAGGAAAGGCGAGGCAGGGTAGAGAAGACAGGACTTCAAGTGAACATAGAGAAGACAGAAATAGGTGATGAAGATACACAAACAATAACAGCATCACCAACAACAAGCTACAATCACCATCAACAGCAGAAACCTAAACGAAATAGCCTCCTTCACCCCACACCTA